AGCCAGGGAGGTGACCCACATGGCGCAGCAGACCTCTCCTGTCTCACCCGCTGCTCCCCTCAGCAGTGTATTTCAGTCATTCTGCCTATTCTGCTCCCCACTCTGTCTCTGGTGAACCTGCTCACCCCCTCTGCACCTCTGGCCTATACCCCACTTCTGTGCAAAAAAAAAAATCTGAAAGGGCTGACTCAAATGACAACTAAACTGATCACTTTGGCAGTCACCATATTAGGATGGGAGAAGCCAATGGGAAAAGGAAACGTGTGACTGTGGCATAGAGGTGAACATTTCCTCCTCCGAACCTCAGTTTCTTCATCTGTAAAGAGGGAGCCGTGGAGGCAGACATCATCACACGTTTGCTGAGTGAATTCAATAAGATAACATGGAAAGTACCAGCCCTCGCCCAGGCACACGGCAGGTGCTCAGTTAACATGACCCCTCATTCACTCTTCCGCTTACCTGCTTGGATTCCTGGAAGCTTCCACTTCTGCTAAGCTCAGAGCACCGTGTTTGCAGGAAAAGAGTGATCCAAGTAAGAGAAAGCGTGCCCGACAGCAACTGTCCAACAGGAGTGTGTGCTGTTGCCCTTGGTTGGTTTTACATACCAGTTGGTTTACGAATACTTTCAGGGGCATGTAAGTGTGAAATTGGAAAGCCGCACTGCGGGACTGCCACGAGCCACCGCACTGGCCACAAAAAAGGGGGAGGAGGAGCAAAGGGGTGGGCCAGGGGAAGGGAAAGAGGGAGGCAGATAGGAAAGAAAAAGAAAGGTGAGACCAAGGTGGGGGAAGGACAAAAAGATACCAGGCTGGGAGCAAACTGACTTTCAGGTTCAAAGCTGGTTCATCCAGATTCACTGCTGAAAACACACTCTTGTTTGACTTCTCTCCACCCCCACCTCAGAGGTTTCTCTCCAGCCAGCTGCAGCATGGAATTCCTACTCCGAGCCATGCCACAGCTCAAGGCCTGCTCGCTTTTAGGCAATTTTCTTTTCTTTTGGAAGAAATTGTAAAGCATTCAAGGTTAGTAAGAATATAAGTTCCGGCTCAGCAAGACCAGCTTTGGCATCAAGTTGGGTGAACTTGAAGCAAGTTTCTTGACCTCTCTAAACCTCAGTTTCCCAATCCATACAAGGCAGGTAACCACCTCATAGGGTTACGATAAATAATAAATACAGGAATGCAAGACAAATGCTAAACCCCCCGCTCCATGTCAGCTCATACCTTCTCTCCCCACATTCCTGCCCCAGTGTAGCTCCTATGTTGAATGTGGTTAACAAGTCTGTCTGTCCCCTCTGTCCCAGAGGGAAGGAGCGCTTTTACTTCTGTCTGAAAAGGGTCTAGAACTCTGCCTCCGACACAATAGATGCTCAGTGTCACCTAGATTGAAAGTGATGACTATCGCATTCCTCAAGCCCATGATTATTTCAATTAGAAGGAAAAACATCCCAAACACTTGGCTCCATGGCAAGATTTTCTGCTGATTCCTCCCTCATAGGTTCTGATAAGGACTCCCTATGTCCCTATGTGTAGCATGCTTAGCACAGAGGACGCGCTATCTATGCCAATTCGTTAAGATGCCCCAAACCATAGGGGAGGAAACTTTAAGTTCAGAGATTTAGTTGTCCAAGGTCACGCAGCTTAAACAGCAAAGGTAGATACAAGTATTGTATTGATTCCAAAGCCTCTGCTTTGCCACACTGCATCTCAATAAATACACATTAAAAGAATTGAGGGTGAAATTCAAGTGATTCTTGATTTTCTGTAGGAACGTGCCAACCCGTCACCGTGGGACTCCTTCCTGCCTTAGCTACCTGCTTGTTTCCCACCAGCACCGCTTTCCTTGCCGCCCCTGGAGTATCTCATACAGGCCCCACCCCCACCTCCTCTACCAGCAGAGAGGTGAGGCCCACAGATCTGAGCACCCGCCTGCAGAAAGCCAGAACACAGTCTCGAGCTTCTGAGAGGCAGGGGAGAAATTCTTTTAAGATTCTGAGTCTTGGTCTTCCCATATCAGTAAAGGGAATTTTGTTATTTAAATCTGTCGTTTAGGGAATTGAGCAGACAGATTAGAGAAAATAGGTGAAGGGATTAAGTATCTAGGCACCTATGCTGTGTCTTATCTACCTCACTCCCCCAGGGATCATCCTAAACATATATATCTTTTTGTCTTAATACACAGTTCTTCACAGAAATAGCTACTGGTTCACACCAAATTTCCTAAAACTAATACATTTCTCACCATGCCATGATGTCTAAAGAGAGGGAGCTGGTGCCCACATTTCTGGTGCCTTCCATTTAAGGCCTCTCTTTTTAAAGGGGGAAAAGATGGGGTGTGGAGATTCCCTAATTTTAGCAAAAGAGACAAGAAATTGGTTTTACTCCTGTCTCTGCCCATAGACTGCACCCCCAGGTTTGGCTGTTATCCAGGTCGCTGGCTGGGCTGAGCAAGCCCCTGAAACAAGTGACAGAACTGGTGTGTTCTTCCACTCAGTGACTCCAAATTAGGACACAACATGAAAAGGTTCACTGACATTCAGAGAGCAGCAGGATGGACGATGTTCAGCTCCCTGCCTGTTTTTAGAAATCGGGACAATGTCCCTGCACCCCAGTTTCCCTCCCCTCACCCCCCACACTCCAAGCTGACGAGGAAGAGACAGAAAGAATATGATAGGTATCTGGAAAAATACACACCTTTTCCTCCCAAGGTTCCCACATTGCTTGTTAGGTAAAGTAGACTTTATCACAGCTCTTTACATCCTAAACAGCTCCTCCCCCTCCAGAACTCCTAGGCCCATGGCAGGGTGACTTATTTCAAAGGAAAGCAATCTGTTGGCTGATAACTGACTCTCTCAACTCTATTGCAAGGGAGAAACACAGAGCCCTCCAGCAGGGGAAGGAGTTCTAGCAAATGCTCGTGTTTTCACCTCTAAAATTTGTTCTGTGATGTGTGTCTAAGAGGTGAAAGCAAATAAACACAAACTCCCAGAGACGTGTTCAGGGGAAGGTGGAAATGCTAAACGCCATCGCAGCTGTGTAGCCAGGCAAGGACAGCAAACGAGTCGAGCGGCGGTAGAGACCTGCCTTGGACCTGGAGGGTCTGGACTCCGCCACTGACTGTGTGGCCTTGGAGAAGCTGTGGGACCATCTCCTGCCTGTTTCTGTCTCTGAAAACCAGTGCCCCCTAGGAGGCGGTTAGGAGGGGCCCCCTTCCATGGAGCTATTACAAAGCCTTCGCACATCATTTTACACTAATAAGATTCAGCCACTAACACTTACAGAGCACTGACTAGGACTAGACACAGTGCTGTGGCCTGGGCTTCAGGAGAATTAAGTCTTGGATAGCTTATATTAAGAAGTCAGCCTCAAGTATGAGAGTTGTAGTCGTCTTTTGGATTGCTGCAAAGATAAAACAAGAAAATGCAAGTCCCTTGAAGGACTGGGTGCCGACTACAACGTGAAGGACTCTGGAAAAGACAAATGGCCACATCCTCACTTAGCCACACCCTCTGCTGCCAGCTTTCACATCCATGGTCACCCCTGGCCCACGCCAGGCACCTGGGCCCTTGAGAACTATGGAAGGAACCACAGCAAAGAGCTTGAAGGTTAGGGTGGCTGCAGAGAAAACTAGCTGGATGAGCAGTTACCCTAGTGAAGAGAAGTAACTGCAAGGAAGCCCGAGGACCTGCAGGTGCTGGTAATGCTCTTTTTTTAACCTAGATGCTGGTTACATGGATACGTTCACCTTGAAAAAAATTAACTTCTACAAGACTTGTGCACTTTTATGTATGAACATTGTGTTACAATAAAAAGTGTTTAAATAGGAACCACCCCTTCCCCATGATCCAAAGCATAAAGCAGCCCTTCCCACTGGGTGTGCCAGGACTACACATGCCAGGTCAGCCACCTGAGCAGAAGCAGACTCGGATGGCCCCTCTCCCCTGGAGCTGTACAAATGCTACCGGCCTGGGTAAGACTGCGAAGTAGGCCCTAGAACACCCTCCTCCTCAACCATACATGTTGTTGTCTCAGGTCGATTTATTTAAATTTTTTTTTACATACCTTAATGAATTTATTTTATTCAATTCTTTTTTTATAATAAATTTTATTTTTATATTCCCCATAAAATTGCAACCCCCTTATTTTGACCCCAATCCCTCCCCTCCCGCTCCCTACCCTCCATAGAGTGTCTCTGGTTCATAGTTTTTTGTTGATTTTGATTTTCACTTTCTTATAGTTATTCTTTTTCCTGGTCCCTTATTTAAGTTTTCTAGATTCCTGCTATGAGTGAGACCATTCGGTATTTTTCTTTTTCTTTCTGGCTTATTTCGCTGTTTAATTTTTAATTCGATTTCTTTATCATATCCAACAGGGAAGAAAGGACACTACATGTAAGGTTTAACCCCACCCCGCAGACTGAGCTTTACAAAACTGAGTCAGCTTTTGACATCATTCCAGAGATGACTCTTATACATGAGCAAAGGTCTAGCAAGCATATCCCTCCCTCTGCCCCAACTTCCTTCCTCCAAAACTGCTGGAGGGTTTGGCAACCTAAAATAAATTTTATTCATTTATCAAGTTGATGGATGCAACACAGACTCCATGCTGGCTTTCTCTTCGAAAGTTTATTGTTATTTTAAAAAAACCAAACCAAACCTATACATTTCACATTTATCTCTTACAATATTTAATGGTACCAGTACTGATGTTATAGAAAAAGCTCACCAGCTGCTTGAAATGGCTGCAAATTTTTTATCATGTTTTGGTATGAAAGTGGTTTGAACTCTTTGGAAAAAATTGGTGTAACATTAAGTACCAAGATTTCAAATTCTGAGGTTAGAAACAAAATTTTTCAATTGGGAAGCAATTCAGTATAAATTCAAGGCTAAAGGGAAATGTGAATAGAAAAAACAAAAACAAAAATATTGTAAAAAATAGGATATTCCCCCCCCCCAAAAAAAAATAGGATATCCCCCACCCACCCCCGCCCTGATAGGTAAAAAATGCAACCAGCCCCACCAACCCACACACCACCTTATTTCTCTTAGAAAAGTCACCCTCAGGCCCGAACACAGGGTCTCATTCACAAACAAGTAGCTTCATTTGTAGGTCAGCCTCTGGGGTCTTACGCTGGCCCCAGTTAGAAGTCTTGAAAAAAAACTTAAATTAGATAGTTAAACATCTATAAATACTGGCATCCAAATGAGTGGAAACATCCTGGCTTTGGTATGGCTACAGAAGTCTGGAAGTTTTTCAAAAGCGCACTGGCTTAGGGAGACAAGGAAGCGGGGCTGAAGAAGGGCACATGAACCTCCCAAACAGAGGTAAAATAAATACTGGGACACAGCCACAGAAAACACTGTCTAAGAGCTGAGGTGGCTGCCTCAAATGCAGCACATGTAGAGGGTGTTGATCAGAATAAAACACACAGGTTCTGGATCAGAACAACGCGGACAGGCTCAACCACAGATGAAAACACGTACAGGCTCTAGATCAGAATTGTCCACCCCAACCGCTTCCTAAGTATCAGCTGAAAGAAAGAGTTTGAATTTGAGGATTCATCTGTGCCCTGGGGTTAGGAGGGGCCCACTTCCACAGAGCCTAGTGACAGCTTCTGAACAAAGATTGAGTAACCAGGGCTAAGAGCCAGTCCCCTTATTCGAGGAATCTGGAAGCTGCCTCTGTCCCTCACGAAAGCACCTTTGGCTTCCAACCACAGGGCTCTTCCATACCAGTTACCACAGGGCCTGTCACAGTGGTTCGACTGGGATTTTTTTTATCTCTGAGGTGATGAAATGAAAAATTAAATCTTCTGGGATTAGGTAATTTACACTGTTGTGTCTCAAGTCTGCTTCCCATCTTCCCCAGATCCTGGTAAAGGCCTATGAGGACACTGAGAAGGCAGTGATGGGGCCGTGCCCGTGCCCCAAGGGTGACCTCAAAAACCCTGAAAGTGACAGAAGCCGAAGAGGCCCAAGTGCCCAAACCCCAGTCTTTGTATCAATGAAAGCACAAAAGTGTCACTGGATGAGGAAAAAAAGCCACTTGCTGCTACTCTGACACTGAACCCCGGGTGCTATTTACCCAGTCCTGTCCCCTCTAAACAAACTTGGATGTACCGTTTAGGAGGACGACTAAGATTCGTTAACAAGCCTATCGATGGCAACACACACTAAACATATCTAAAGACATTTCCATCACAGGGCACTAGCTCAAGACCAACCGCTCCCTCACACGACAGGCTGTGACCCAGGCCCGGGACAATTCAAGCAGGAGAAGGCGGCCTCACAGCAAAGGCCATCAAAAAGAAATCTACTGCGCGGTGATTCACCACAGTAACATAATAATGGGGGTATGAGGGGACAGAGGAGAAACACAAGATGCCCCAGCAACTTCTGATAAACAGCATCATTTATCCTGTTTTCTAAATAAGATTTCAACATCAGAAAAAAAAAAAAAGATATAAAAGAATGGGTTGTAAATTAAAACACAAATACATCCATGGATGTCTTGACTAAGTACGGGTTGGTAACTGTTGAAACCAGGATTTTAGAGAAGGGATATACTTATCACCACAGCCCCCCAAGTTGCTCTGGGGTATGCACACCCAGAGACAACATGGGAGCAGTCACTTGAGATCAAAGCAATTGCTTACGAAGATTTCCTAGGCGGTGTAAAGTCTGGGCTTGCCTACAGAGATGCTGACGATGTGCTCTAATCCCAAATTCTTGAAACATCTCAAGAGATGGCAACAGAACAACCCGCTGAAGCCTTCCTCCAATGATGAGAAGGAGGGAGAGGGATCAGGGAAGGCATTCGGTAGAAGTTTAGTGTAAGTTAATGTAAGTTTAGTGACAGCTACGACAGAGTCTGCTTTGTCTTCTGCCTGGGTGAGGTCTCCCGGGAGGCTGGGAAAGCCAACAAGGTTCCAGGGCTGTGCCATGGCCAGTGTGCAATAAAGGCACTGGCAACAAAAGTGCAATTTGAATTGTGGGAGTCTACAGATCACGGATTATTGCACTAGCAATCTGGCCTCCCCACCTACAACAGACAACCCAGATAATGAGCTCGAGCCACCGCTTCACCTACGTGGGAGCAGCAGAGAGGAATGAGGTACCAATGAAAACTTCTGAAATGACCACTTCCTGCTCCAGCTAGAGCTTGAGCTAGAACAAGTGTGTCTGAATAAACCACTCGCATGAAATGATATTTAAAATATGGTACCTTTAGCACATTATGAAAACGAAGTGCCCCTCCCCACACCCTGTTTACTTCAACACACATAAGTCTCCCAGGCACATCTTTCTGTGTTCAGCCAGTGGAATGGATGGCATATGCCAGATGTTACACAGGCATTTATTTCTCCGAGAAGGCCGAGAGCCAGGAGAATTAATCTCCTTCTGCTAGGACCTCTGCCCCAAGCTTCTGGGGAAATGGTGAATTGGACTCAACAAGCAGCTACGTGATCCACCAATCAGATTAAAAACATGAAAATGCTCTGCACAGTGTATCCCTTCCTGCTCTTCTTTATGGGAAAAAGACCTAAAGAGATGTCCTTCCAAATTCAAAGGGAGTTAAAAAACAAAAACAAAAACAAAGTATGAGCAAAAACCAATGAAGTAAGTAGATCCAACTGCCAACACTCCCGGTAATAGTCTCGTGGTGACAGATGGCTGACGGGGTCGAGGCAGCGAAGGAGGACACAAAGATGGAAGTGGCTGGCCACAAACGTTCCGTGCAGAATCCACAACAGTGTTCTCCATTTTCCAAGGCCAATGAGCCAGCTCAAGTTAAAAATTTTCTATTAAGAAGAAAACAAAATAAAACAAAACCAAAACCACTCCAGAAAAGGGTCAAGGGAAGAACCCTGTAGAAAGTCAGGCCGCTGACCTCCGGCGGATCACAAAGAGCCCGCGCTGAAGCTGGCCCAAGTAAATCCTCATCTTGGTGCTGTCACTGGTCTTCCTCACCCAGATCTGCCAGGGAGAAGGAGAGGGAAGCAGATGAGAGGCTGACACTGAGGAGCCACGCCTCCAGAGCATCAAAATGTCTGTGTGAATGGGGGTGGGCACAAGGCCGGCCACCTCTTCCTCAAAGGACCCCTCAACTGGCCACGCCTTAGTCAGCACCTCCTGGGCCTGTGGTCTCCAGTGCAGAGAGCAGGCGTTAGCCCTTGACCTCATTTCACTCAGCCTCCTATCTTACACCTTTGTTAAGAAAATGGAAAGCACAGTGACGTTGGGTTCTGTCTTGGCTTTGGTCTTAAGCACTTTTGCAAATCTGTTTTGATTAGAGTGTTATCAACATTCTAGACACATATTCATGAACATAAACTTCAAGCAAATTTGGAAATACTTTCCTTGCTCCAAGGGAATTCCATATTAAAGCTTTCAGTTCTCTGGTTTCCTGCCAATTAAGGCTAATGGCTGTGACAGGAAAAGCAGGAAAAAATAACAAAAAAAGATGCCCAGGAGTGAGCAAAGGCCCAATTAGGATCACGAGAAGGTGGAATGAGCTCCTCACTAGATCTCTCTCAGAGATGCTATCAGATGTTCTGCATTTTACAGGGTAGATGCATTCTTCCAGAGAACTGAGAATGAACTCCTGCAGCAGGGGGACGCCTGGACTGACGCTAAGAGCTGGCGTCCCCACAGCAGGCTGGAAGGACATCGGCTCCTCCATCCCTCCGGCCTGCCCAACCCAAGCAAGAGGCTCCTGTGCCCTCAGTGTGCCGGACACTGAGCTGAGGCTTTTGTCGCTCAGAACCACCCTACAAAGTAAGTATTCTGGTCACCCCCGTTTTCAGAAAAATAAGGCCCAAAGCACTTGTCCCATTGTGAATCCTGGCACCTCTCAACATCCCTACTCTTCCTGCAACGTGCATCCCTAAGGATCCTTCCCATCAGCTCAATTAACATGCAATTAAATGGAGCCATAGCCTAACTCTTTAAAAACCAGCGACTCACCCATATATGCAACTTTACGATAGATCTCCTCACTCCTCCACTCCGTTTCCAGATTTGAGACAAATTTATTCTCCACTTCACCTCAATTTCTTTAACATGAGTAATGAGAGGCTTCTCAGTCAAATGACTAGTTTAAAATAAAGGTAACGACCTCACATGAAGCTTCTGATGGACCTCGCAGAACCATTTTTAAATAAGTCACGCCAAGGAGAGCCAAACTGATTCACCATCATGTTCAGACCCACCCACCAAATGTGCCTCAAGTCAAGTTATGCACGAGCCAGGTGGCTCTGGCGTCACATAGGATTTGACCTGAAAAATAAGCTGGAATGTTTCCAAGAAGTGAAAAGGTTTTCTATTCCCAGAGTGGTCTGCCCCCAACGCACCGAGGCACCTCCACTCCAGGAGGCATGTCTCAGTGTGAGTTTCCTCGTCAGACCTCCTTGACACTCTATTATGTCAAGAATGACAATCTTCAACAGAGAGCGCGTAAAAATAATCCAACTTGTATTTCTATTTCCCTGAGAAGTCGGAGGTGTCACAGAGAATGCTGCACTGGCTCGGCAGGTAGGCTGGGGTACCAGGAGCCACTAGCACTCTGGACAGCAGCCAGGCACACATGCTCTGCTTGGAAATCCCAAAGCCTCCTGCCTGTGGGACAGCAGGTCTGTCTGTCAGAGGCCCTGCCCTGCTCCTGACATGACTGGAGTGACACACAAACTCTGGGTCCAGAGGAGAATGACAGTCATTTATCTGGAAGGCTCTCCCTAACTTATAAGTAAACAATCATTTTGCAAACTGGTCACATTTAAGGGCATTTTCAATTCAGGAAGCTGGGAGAATAGAAGAGGCTTAAGTTATTTTGTAATCCAGTTTCATTAGATTTACTGTGCACTGGATGAATGAGTTACAGTGGGCAGACACATAAAAATCAATTCCTTTGTGGAGAGTTGTGGGCTGACAGAAGATCAAGCCAGTCCAGCTACTGAAGTTTTAAACTTCCGAGAACTACTAACAATACTGGATACATGCTGCTGACGGCCTCCTAGTGAAGGACCAATTGGAGGACTCGGGCCTGCTGAGTCACCCTTGAGTATCCAAAGCAGTCCCCGCTGCACAGGGTGACTGAGGAGACCAACTCCAAAGGGCGCGAGCCTGGCAGCTAGTTGTTCATCAGGCAACAGGACGTCAGATTAGAGAGAGCAAGCAAGGGGTAGTGTGGCCTATACCCGCTTATTGAGCACTGACTGTGTGCCAGAACCTTGCCAGGTGCCTTATTAAGTCCTCACAGCACAAAACAAATCTATTACTGCATAAGAAGAGTTCTAGAGAAATAATACAACAATGGATTATGCTCCACAGGCCAGCTCCACGCTCAGCAGAGGTAACCTTAAAAAGCAGCAGGACTGCCTGCAGGGGTATCACACGGACTTGTCTTTTGTAGCCTAGTTCAGTAGTTCCCAACGGAGTTACTGTGCCGTGAGGGGCCAAAAATCACGAGGACAGCTAAAGCCCCGTATGTCCTAGGCACGCCGTATAAGGGATTTCTGAGGGTGATCCTGACTGTGTGCAAGTTCTGTCTGCAAGTGCTGGCTTGAGAACCTAACCTCACACAAGACAAGACCTCACGCCCTTTCTGGGAGGCACTGGCAGCTCAGGTTTATCACACTGTGCTTTACCCAAGGATGAGGGGTTCCGTCCCTACCTCGTTGGCTCCAACGGAGCTGATCACACAGCTCAGTTTCTGGTTGTCCTTCGACTCCAAGTAGATGGCTTGGCTCTTGTGGTACCTGCGCAAAACAGTACATGTTCATTTCTTTAACCACTTTATTATGAAATGAGTGACAACTAAATCAATTCAATGAGTCTGGGAATAGGCAAACACCTGTGACACCAAAACTACAGACCTGCCCACCCAGTCCCACAGTTTCCTCCTACCCTTTTAGTGTAGTAACTGTTTTAGTGGGTTCTGGTTTTGTTTTGTTTTGTTCTGGTAAAGAAACTTAATAAAAGATCTTCACTCAAAAATTTTTAAGTATATAATACTGTATCACTAAAGACACAAATTTAAAAAGGAGGAGAAGGAGAAGGAATGATGGATGAAATAAAAAAAAAATTAGAATCTTCATTTATATTTGAAGAAGAGTCTGGATTCCTTGGATTACATTAAAATTACCTTCTAAATCTTCTATATTTAAAACTTTATTCTATGGTCCTCCGCAAAGAGCCAAGAAAAGCATTGGAAAACTATGTATCTAACTTTTTTTTTAAAGATTTGTTTATTTATGCATCCAAGAACTGGGGTACAGGCCAGAGGTGCGGGGGGTGAGAGGATTCACCAGAGACAGAGTGGGGAACAGAACAGGCAGACTGACTGAAATACACTGTTGAGGGGAGCAGCAGGCGAGTCAGGAGAGGTCTGCTGCTCCATGTGGGTAGCTTCCGGGCCAGGGAACAAACTCCTGCTGCAGTGGCTGCGAATAGCTTCAGAGGTTGCGTCTTAACCCCTTGTGCCACCAGGGAGGCCCAAGTATCTTTTTATTTTGACCGTATCCCAGCTCAAAAAGTAAATTAAGATTTTTTTTTTCCAAGTAAAACCTGTTCCCACTTTCAGACGCTACCCTCAAAACACTGAAGAACTAAGAAATGGGCTTGAATTCGTGTTCTGTTATTTCTAAATAATTTGTCCAAGTAAGTTCTCAACAAGGCAGCAGGCCATATTCTGCCCTCTATCACTCCCTGTGTGGCAGTGACCAGTCCGGAGGCTGGAGGGCCCTGCTGTCAGAGCCCCAACGCATTGGCAGTGAAGAACATGAAAGAATCATGCCTGGCAGGAGCTAACCAGGCGAATTCTCAGCGTCGCGACATGAGAACCAAAGGTTATCTGATTCAGCTGATGAGTCAGGAAAGCCACCTGTAATGGAGCAGAGAAGACAGGCGCCCTACCCACACCTTTCAGCCTCTGTATTTCTATTCTCTTAGCCTGTCGTGAAGGACCAACTCCAACCTCTATAAGTTTAAGGATAAGGCCAGAGATGAAAGTTGAAGAAAACCCAGAGGCAAAGCCCACAGAGACAACAGCAACCACAGAATGAAGCAGCAGCTGCTGGATTACAAGAGCTGGACACATCAGCTGAGCTGCTGCCGGCAGCCCTGGCTGGGCCAGGCTGGATCAGTCGAGAACATTCTCCAATGAACTAAAGGTTCATTTGACTGCAAAGATCTGGCAAAACCAGACTTCTAACTCATGTAAACTCCATCAAAACAAATCTCACAGCAAAGCCCAGCATCTTATAATTTGTGTGGGGGAAGAAAGAAGACTGTTTAGCTGATATAATGACATAATCTACTGCCAAGACACCACAGTGAAAGATGGTCTCACTCCCACACAATCTTTTCCAATCTAGGTTCTAGGCGATCTTTAATCTGCTACTTCAGAGCTGAAAACTCAGGTTTCCAAGTCAATTTACTTCCTGAAAACACTGTTACAAGAAATCGAATCATAAATGCAATTAGAACAGCGAGATTGGTTTAGACCCAAGCTTTGAGGTTTCTTTTGGCCAGAGATTAGCTGGTAAACTGGGTCAGGGGAGCTTCGCTATGCTAAATAGGTAATATCTCAAGGTATGAATGGTATATTGCATAAGGAAAGGCTGAACTAGTCCTCAGCAAAACTCAAGTTTCCTGCACATCTAAACCAGCTATCCAATATAAACAGCAACATCTTGAGTAATGGTTAGAATATACAGAAAACAACATTCAGTTATTCTATGAGGGGTGCGAGTTATTAGAGATGAAAACACAAAACAATATGTAACTAGCATTAAGTCATTCTCATACCACTTTCTAAATATTTTAACAAAGAAAGGTCTTGGGTGTGGTGTGGAAGTGCATTATTCATGTGGGAAATGCTCAATATATTGCTAAGTAGAGGGGAAAACTACATCCATTGTGTTTCTGTGTTTATGTTGCATGTGTATCGTACACAAACACCAACTGGGTAAATCTGTTAAAATGTGCACTGGATATGTATTAAAATTTTATAAAACCATAAAATGTAAGACTATTTCTTTACCGAATAGCTTACTTTCCCCCCGGATATTACTTGTATAAAAGAAAACCAAACTTCCTTATAAGTCATGATATTGGAAAACACTTAAATTACAAGCTCAATATCACAGATGACAGTTAGTGCTGGGAGACCTGGAGCAAGTGTCATAAGATGTTTCATTTTCCTTCAGATGTGTTCAGATCCCAAGCCCTGCCTGCCTTCCCTGTGCACAATGGGAGTAAACAATGCAATCTGGTCTACGGCCCTGAGAAGCAATCTGGGACCTGAGCATCTGGCTATCTCCCAAGTCTGTCTGCTCTGGAGTCACCAAACAGTTTGGCTTAAATGTCCACCATAGAGTCCCCATTTGATCCCCAGCAGAGCTGAACATTGTGCTTCCCAATACAGCCCACCTGCAAGCCAGGAGTCCCGGGTACCAGGACTGGGGCTCTCAGGTACTGCACATGGTACTAGGAATCAATATTCCTGGAGAGCAGATCTATTAAATTACCTGAATTCTTCTCTGAAAAAAATAAGAAGGGAATTTCAAGATGAAACCAAAATGTCTAGATTACCTTAACAACATAAAATTTGCTTTTCAATTTCTAAAAACTGATGAAAGAGGGGGAAAGACTTCATAAAAAATGCTCAAAAGCAACATCAACAGAACTTAGTAAATATGTACATTATCACTTTTTTGCCAATTAACCTGCTTTATAAGCTGCAACTCATCTCTGCTGAAAAACTGCTTTAAACAGCTTCAGAGAACAAGGCCCTGAAGTCAAGCTGACTTTATTACATTATTACTAATGGAAATTCTGACCTGGGAATCCCTACAATTAAGCTCTTAAAGCTGTGCCTCCACTATTAAACCCAATGAACTAGAATCACCACTACTATTACGGAAGAAAGCAATTTCTTCAGAAGGTGGGTCAAAAAGTGGGGCAAGGAGAAGGTAGAATTAATTTAATTTGATAACCTACTGGCAATCCTGATATTAATGCCTCCTTTCAAAACATCAAACAAAACAAATGCCATGTTACAGAAATGCAAGGAATTACTTATCAAGTTGCAAATATTCACTGTTTTGCAGCAAGTCCTTTGCGTCAGCCGAAGACTGGAGGGTTAAACCCACTTAAGTAAGGAGGTGACTTCATTTCTGATTCACATTAACAGCCCCAGATTTAAATGAGGAGAGAAAAACAGTCCACCAGCACTATCAGTTAGTTATTTTAAACTATCAGCTACTTTCACAGTAGTTTCTAAGAAGGGTCATTAGTCCAAATCAAAATGTGAGGGAAACTTACAGCAGGGCATAAAATGCCTTAAGAGCTGTAGAAGATCAAGGCCAAGGAAAGATGCTTATCTTTCAAAATGAAATGTAGCTTGATAAGTGTTCATGCCAGAATGGGAAGCCTGAATCACACTCATTTCGCTGAAGTCATTTAAAACTCAATGAAACATGTTTAGCCAGAAATACTGTTTCACCAGCAGACTCCACACCACTGGAAAGAGCATAAAACAATTCAGTTGACCTCTCCTCCACAGACAGGGACTGCTGAAAAAGAAGGAAAAATGAAAACCTCTGAACTGATGGGGAAACAAAAGCCAGACATCGAGGGCCTGAGGAGACATGAGAGGCACATTCTGTGTCGGTGAGAGCAGCAGCCTGGACTCCCACCAACACCTTCCAGTTAGCAGCAGGGAAGGGAGGGAGTCACCTTGCAATGAATGTGTCATGAATGCTGACTCCTAGGGCCAAAGAAGAGAATCACAGAGAACAAGACACCATTCTCAACATTGAACAACAAAACAAGCAAGTTTAAATCCACTGAAAAAGCAGAATGCTCGCAGAGACCTTATTTTCAGAGTTTATGCTGCCGTTGTAGGGAAGATGGGGCAATTCCTTCAAAATCCTTAGGAGATCTAACACCTCAACCAGACCTGTCTGTTCACGTGATGAAACACCGGTCACCGTGGAGCTTTTCTTTAGAAAAACAAGATTTGTATTTTATGCATCTTCACCCCCAAGACACGTCTCATAAAGTCTAAGGATTAAGCCTGAGAAAGAAGATCTGAAGCAACACAATTACAAAATGAACATCATTTGAAATATCACATGGCCTGAAGACTCACGGATCCGTAAAAATGTTAGTGATAAATCTCATCATTTTTGAAGATGGTTCTTATGTGTGGGCTTGATCTTTAAAGGTTATTTGGTTTTCATTATTAGAAACATTTTTCATCTTACTTTACCCAGCGTGTTGCGCTGTGAGGGCCTGCCACCTAGTGGTGATGAGTCCCGAGCAGCAACATTAACACACAGTATATGGGCCTTTCCAAAATACCGAACTGTCAAATGAGAAGGGCAGAAGAGGAGGCTAACACACAAGCCCTCATCATCCACTGGGTGAGACATTCACTGAAACCAAAGGGGTGGAACAGCTTTATTTCAGGCACGACTAGATCTCTAAGCCTTTTTGCCCACTTCAGAAGTACACGGTTATAAAGGTAACCAACTAATACAACGCTGGCTTTTCTAAAGAAAGCTGAGAAAATTCAAAATAACCATTATTCCAATTTTGAAACTTTCAGTTAAATATGTTGAAACTCAAAAGATCACCAGAGAGCCATTATCAAGGACAGCTACAGAACGTGGACAGTAGCCCAGAACAACATTCTCAACAGAACCCATTCTCAAGGCAGAACACAAGCACGTGTCTGCCACGACCGACACTGAGTGAGCGTGTCCAGGCAGAGGGACAAAGCAGAAAGGAAATCCAGCAGAATGAGCACTGTGGAAAGGGGGCTAGCACCCAGCAGAATGCCTAACCCATGGCAGACAGGAAATGAGAGCAAAAATAAGAGCCTACTAAGTGCTCTTATATTGTTTTGCCATTTCTTTCCCAATGAACATGTGGACAGGCTGGGAATTTTCATCTTCCATCTAGAGTAGCGATGTTTTAGGACACCGTTCCCCAAGTATGTTTCATTCGATGCTCGCACAGCAGGATAAGGAAGATAGAATATCAGTAACACCTAACAGCATCTCAAAATCCACAGTGACAATCCAGAGCATATCAGAGGCCCTGAGGAGAGCTACATTTAACTTAACATGACCATCCCACAAGCTTATCTGAACACAAAATCCCTTTTTTTCCAAAGTACCTCTTCACGATGGCACACAGGGGCATAAGAGAAGACGGCACAGGGGGATGGAGACCCGGGCCCGTCTCCAGGGCCACAAAGATGGAGCCTGCCAACTCTAGTATGGTACAGCAGCAGGCCACTTTCAGAAGAACACACTTTGGGGAAATGCTACTTGAGACCCAACAAACAGTATGGATCCAATGCCTACTGATGCACTTTAAAATGGCTTTCTACTCTCCGTACGACATCAGCTGAGCAGCAGCTATGTTTTTAAATAACTATAAATAGAGAGTCCTCTCTTCCAACAGGCTCTTTGAGACTCTCGCAAGCTACCCGTATGTTGGCGTTACCTACCATCTTTTGTCGTAGTACAGTTTGCCATCTTCTATCCGAGCTTCAAATCTCTGGGCTGGAGATTCTGCAGGTGTAGCAGGTAAATGTTCAGGAGAAGATGGAGATGCTGAAGGAACCAAAGAGACATGTCAACACTAAGCAGGAAGCTGCAGGTGAGTCTACCAGCTAACGCTTAACTGAAATGCTTGCAAAGTAGCAACAGTCACAGTCATTAAGCCCTCCCAGTTGTAATAAACAGGAATTCAATGAAATTCTGGGCTTAGGAGGCAATTTCGAGAAAAGCGACTCCCGTTTTCTTCCATAAGATTTGGCGAGTAGAGGGATGTGTGAGTAACCATGGTGCTTAACACAAAACAGTCTTACCCGTTCAGAATTCTATTCTGCAACCTAGCACGGATTCACGAGTGCTGCTCTGGGAGGAACCTTGAACACCGGGCCAGCCTCCTTTCTGGGGCGCCTCAGAGCTGCCCGCTTGTCCCTTCCCAGAGCCAGGTCACACACAGCCACCGGAAAGCCAGCGATACTGCAACATCCCTCTGGTTTCCTTTTCAGAAATGGATGTGTACTTAAACCTTAAGCCTGATGCCTACACTGAAGGAATCCTCTACCAACCAATCAATCAAATGTATCTTTTACTGTAAATTCTAAGGAAAAGACAAATATAACTTTAACACAGCAGGGTTATAAAAAAAATCAGGGGAAGGTGCACGTAAGGTTCCCTTCAGTTTTCATAACTACTCTCAGGCAAATGATGAACATTTTCTTGTGAAAATTGCAACAATTCCCAGCCAGAGAGTCACATACTTTTCCAACATTGATAAAACGATTGCACAAAATGCCAGTTACATCACAGACTTACCTGGTCTCTTGGGTGACTTAAGCTGTAGGAAGAACAACAACAAAAAATCTTAGCGAAAAATCATTTCAGGTACAACTTAAGGTATCAAAGGTATCAAAATGATTTAACAAGTAACAAATGAACAAAGTAAAGCAGACGACCATACCAAGCCTAAACTTTCAAATAAATCAAAAAAATCAAACTGTACCTTATTTAATGTCCTCAGATCCTCCATGATCTGTTCATCGGTTAGCAAATAGTTTAGCTGGGGTGCTGAGAGTTAAAGCAATGTGTTGGCAAAGCATGATTTCCAAATAAATAGAAATCGACAAAATGGTACTTTTTTTTTTTTTTTTTTACAATTTACAACGTGTAACTACGTCATGTGATGGGCTTACAATAATAGCTTGCCTCTTGGAAGCTGACGGTTCTCCCACCAAATGCTGCAGTGCCTAGGAATATAAAAGAATTCATTCATGCCCCACTTCTTACAGGCTTCTTCCGTGTGATGGGGGAATGAGATTAATTAGGAAACTACAATAGCAAAAGCACAGGACAAGGTAAAAGAAGAATTTCATCCTGAATTCATGAAGTGCTATTGTTCCAAAGAGCTGAAGAGATAGACACACAGACGTGCACGCAGAGTTAATCTTCGCTGGCAACTTAAATCTTGAAGTTGTGCCCTTTCTGGTAGCAGAAACATAACAGAGTCTTTTTGGACTCTGAGCAAATGGCTAATTATCTCAAGAAGCTACAGAAACGATGTTCCCATGTCCGCCTCCCATTCCCATTTTTATGATTAAAAGGGCTGCTTGATGTCTGGCTGAAATCTCATTTGCCTTCAGTTAACAACAACTTGCAAGTCACTGTTTTAGGGACACATAACTGAAGTACAAAAGACAAGAAACTACTATCCTAGTTTTTACAGGTGGAAAAATTAATTCACATGGAATTCTGTTACCCTTGTATCCTTAAGTGAGTGTCCCAAGCAGGGTTACCGTACAATGCAAAGTACCTGTCCAAATGACCGCTCTCTAGAAATCCCTCCCCCTAAAAGTAGCCATGGAGGACTCCCACAAAACCAAAAAAAAGGGGGGGGTGACACAGTGACACTCTCTCACAGTGAACTTGGTACATATGCTTTCCAGTCACACATGACTATGGGACAATGGCCATATACAGTCTATCAACTGGAGAGGCAAAGGACTGAACAGGCTTAATTAAGGAAAAGTGATGAAGGCTTGATGCAAACGGATATCAGGCGCCGGCTTCCTCCTCTTGTCCGGGATGGGGACGGGGTCATTCGGTCGCCTCCGCAGCTTCCTGGTCATGATGGGCTTCACTTCCATGGAATCTGCAGCAAAACGGAGTGGGTGACTATCTCCCCCCACATAAAATCATTAAGACTTTCTATAGTGTAAGAGTACCTGACCCTGTCAGAACAGCAGCGATTCCCGCCGCTGGCCTCCCACACATGCCTCTCAGAAACACAGTGCAGCCAGGCCGCTCAGCCCGCAGGCGTCTCCCCGGCACCCTAAAAGCTAGTCTTGGGAGCGTCCTCTCTCCACCCAACATAAGGGGTGTGGGATTGAAGAAGCCTCTGGCTGATGCCAGCTGACTGACTGCTGCTGTTCCCACAGAGGCGGGGGGACTGAGGCCCACTGGTATAAAAGACTCTTTCAGAGACCACTGGCCTCAGTGCCAACGTTTTTATACGAGGTCTTCGTTTACAAACTCTGACTCTTTTCTGACCTTTTGTAGCTACTTGACTATCAAGAATGACATAATGAAGACTTGTAACAAAGGCCCCTTTTCAGTCTTCTTGACTTCTCTCCACAGACCGACCCTGCTGCTGGCTCCTCGCACCTCAAAAGCCTCCCCAGCCGTTGCCACACAAATCTCTCCTTCGCCCCTAACTGGCTTCCTGGGGTTCCGTTTTGCTGGCCTGGTCCGTATAAACTGGTGAGCTCTGGGGTCATTTCATTTCCGCCCGCACCCCAGTGCCTCTCCAATCGCCAACTCCAGCTGCCCTTCAATGGCAACCTCTGCACCCTGCAGCCCCAGCTCTCCAGGCTGAGAGCTCCTCTCCTCACTTCACTTTGCAAGGCTGCCTCCTCTCGCCTCAAGGCAAGAGACATCTCTGACTTGTGTTCCTTCTTGCAGGCACCAGATAATGCAGTTCTGCCTTTTGACCTGCCACACTGACCTCCAAGTCTCTCCCACACCTAGCTGCCCATCCCGCCCTCCGGGGATTCTTCTGGAGACAGGATCCAGGTCATCTGGCACAATACTCTTCCCACCGCACAGTCCAGTGGATCCCCACTCCACGGGACAAAGGCAAAGCTGCAGCTGGACCTCCCTTCCTCCTTCACATGAACCCCCACAGAATACTTCTCATGCCTTTAAGCCTCTACATAGTGCTCCTCTCTGCCTCACCTCCTCCTTCCTGCCCAGTCACTGGAGGCAGCTCAACACTAACCCTCCCAGGAGGCTGCCGGAGACAGGTGCACCATCTCCCAAGAAATTCCGGCATTTCAACAAACCTCACTGCCCATGCCACCCTCTTATGGGATGTCTCCCCAAGTCAGGTACAGGAACCCCACCCCAGCATGCAATCTGCCCACACCTGGCACCACTTCTGGCACATGCCCAGCCAGCCGCTCCTCGAAGCACCTTCAGGCACCATCTCATCTGACCTTTACACCAACACTCCTAGCGGGTTCTATCAGCCCCTTGCCAAACAGGGGAGACCGACCACAGAACTATGCCCTCGAAGGGGCCAGGACTCATCCACATCTGTCAGCCCACGGAGGCAGTTCTCATATTTCTGTGCAATTCAAATATACTCAATATAAGAGCTCGGGAGACAGAGCTTCTATTTTGATATGATAATTATACCTGACTCTGGCTATGAATCCAGTATGTTCTAAAGAAAACTTGTAGGTTTTACTGAGAAGCTTCAACAGGGGCCAAAGGGTTGGAAGATGCCCCTAGTGAGGCAAGAACTTACAAAAGATAATGAAATGGTAGTCAGCGGGCTGCTGGAAGAAAGAAGAGGCAGTGATCACACAGACAGGAAGAGGACACCAATTAAAAAGGACAAAGCCCCCCCCCCACCCCAAGTTTTAAAGCTCATTATATTCTCATTGACTATTTGGGTTATTTATAAACTTGGCCTCAACTTCAGAGAAAACTAACACTCAAGGTAATGAGTGTTAACCTTGCCACTCAAAGTGTGTTCCCTCGGCAGCGGCAGCCGTACCTTGGCAGGTGGTTAGAATGCAGGCCCTTGGGCTCCACTCCAGACCCCCAGGCCAGAATCTGCATTTTATCAAGACAGCCAGGTGAATCTCACACTTCAACTTGGGGGAATGCTGACCGCAACCACCTGTAACCCACCTGAGACCATTCAGCAACACTGCATCTTCCCGCCTGCCCCACCCAGCTGTCCTAATGATCTCCACACCGCCCCGAGCACCCCCAGAGGCCGGTGACCAGATGCCACTGTCTCCAACAGGTTAACTGGACTAAGCATCTCATTAGCCTCTTATTCCACTTGGTTTTTCAAGAGATCTTCAGGTTGAACCAGAAAAGGAGACTTTAGGAAACCACTTTCCCAGGCAGGGCCAGGCAACATGGATACTGGGCATCAATCCACAAAGGTGAAATAAGTCATTCAATTAGACAACTGAAATCAAGGCCTTTAATCCACCACCATAGCAGCGCCATCTGTGGAAATGCTAATTATCCTTCTAGCTCCAGTGCCTTTTCTTCTAACACTCTCTCATTACCTTGGCAGTGCTTTCCCTACCAAGGGTACCAAATGGCTTGAGGAAGGACACTGGTGCCTTTAATGCCCATGGATAGCTTTAAACACTTTTATAATCTATTTTACTGCATTACAAATAATTTCCCTGCCTTTATTTGTCTTTTCTACCCTGGCAAGTTCGGTCTCAAGTCACTGAGGGGGCCGCCTGTTCCAGTTAAGATTCTGGCTGTAAAACTGCCTGGCCAAACAATGTCTATAGCTTGTCAATAATTAGGATGCCAAATCACAGGTAAGGTGATGATATCCTTCCATGCAGATGGAAAGGGAGCAGCTATAAACTGACAATATTTCCCACCAGCCTAATGAAGGCTCACGAACATCTGGTGGCTCTAGCAGAGAGTGCTGAAGCATCAGTGCCAGCCAGAGCCAGGTTCAGAGAAAATGGTGAGCAGGCCAGGAAGCAGGCAGGCAGACTAGTACAGGACAAGGTACCATAGGGTCAGCAGTCTAATTAAAGAAGCATTTCTACGAGAAGAGGACAGTGCTGTCTGACGATACAATATTGGCATCCATCCTCACCAAAAAAGAGAGAAAAAAACAAAAACAAAAAATTTCTGAGTCAAGTCTTTCAATGAAGAACCAACAGAAGATTTTTTCCAGTCAGTCCCCCACTTAAGACACAACCACATGCTCCTAGGTGTACTGTGAGAACAGAGCTAGTTTCATGTCAAGGGCCACCTTGGTTCACAGTGCCAGAACCAAAGGGGGATACATAGCTTTTAAACATACTCTTAGTTCCAAAGTCAGCCTCCAAGACTTACATGGAAACAATGCAATTCTTATGGACCCCTCCTAATGTCACACACCCCAGAGCACCCCACTTCATGAAAATGATCATCAAAGTTAAATTTTGGAGTGTGCAGAAGGCCTTATAATATTTGATGGCAGAAATTTTGCCAAGTTTCAAAGTAGCTACAGTTCAAGCCAATTCCTGGCTACATATGGCAAAAGAGTCGGCCCACATTGCTTCTCCTTTAAGCTTGCCTGCAACCTGCTGGGTCCCCATATGCAGATTACTAAATCCTAGAAAGTCAGGGAGAGCTTGGCTGGGAGTCTAATGTGACCTGACCACCTTTACAGGAAAATATTCAGTGTAGTTACCCCTGCTAAAATCCTAACAACTCTGAGATGTTCCCAGTAAGGTCAGGGGGAGGGCCCTAAAAACAGAGATGAGACAGCCAAAAGCTTTTGTTCTCACATCTAGGTCAAAGGAAGACAATGCCTTTTCTGTAATTAAGGCAGACTGAAAAGAAAACAAAGCAGAGGGATTCCCATCACCACAGAGGGACCTGGGTAAGTAATTCAGGAGCCTAACCAAGGCAGGAATGGCAGCTGACCCAGAAACTAAATAAAGCATAACCGAGAGGCCGCATGGACTATGCAGAGCCTACCGTTACTGAATGCCTTTTATGTGTAGGGCGCATACTGGACACGCCTATGTGTGTTCACAGTCTGGCAAGGTTGGTTGTGATCTGCCCCATTTTATGATCGGGGGAGGCTCAGGGAGGCTAAGCGGCTTGCCGAAAGTCACAGAGTCCACACAGTACAGGATGGCACTAGGTGTCTGACCTGCCCTTGGCTGGCTCCACTCTGCAGAGGCACGGAGACAGTAACAGGGAAGTCTCTGCAGGGCCCTAACGGGGCTCCCAGGACCATGCTTTCCTACCTCCAGTCAGTTCCATCGTCAGTTTTTCATTTTCAATCATTTTCTTCTTTTCTTCTAGCTCAGCAATCAGGTTCTCCTTGAGCTCAACCTTCTTGTCTTCAAATTCTTTCACCGCTGCCTTCTTCTCTTTAATGTAATTTCTCTCGACTTGTTCAGTCTGAGCAAAAGAGAAACACAGGCATGGGGAACGTGGCTCTGGTAGCCAGAGCTCCGACTCCAAGCCCAGCACTGCACACAAGAGCGAAGGAAGTCCCCTCGCTGGGAGGATGAGAGATGTCTGACATGCGCATCTGCAGGACAGGGTATGTGTCCAAGGAACGGATAAAAACCACACCACGTCCGTCCACTCCCCTCTGTGAGCACACCTCACTTGCTACTCAGGTATGTCCTCTCATCCACACCTCTCACTTTATGGCTAGCAAGTTAAAACAGAACATACGTTCCTCAGAAATAGTAAATAAAGCTTTTTCAAGACACCTGTCAAAGAAAAACAGCATGTTCCAGATGAAATATCTACATTTAAAATTAATCACAAGTTACTGAGTCAGGATGGCCTCAGTTACTATATTTTTTGATACTTACAGTAAGATACAGTGCAGCTAGAGCAGATCATTTATTATGTACCTGAAGTACTGAAACGATGAAATTATCATCAAATAAAATTTGCCTTAGCATCCATGTTTTAAATCTCACCACGGACTGCAGTAAGCAGGGAACAGGGCTTAGGGTGGGCTGTGGCCGGGGCTCGCGAGCTGCACTGACCCAGGAGTCCAATGGCTTCAATAGTGTGGCTCTGAAAAACCAGGCCCTCCCACACCCCCATGTCTGTCACTCAGCCCTGCACCTCCTGCAGAACCAGCACGCAGAACCAGCACTCAGGCGTCTGCTGCGTGAAAGGAAAAAATTTTCAATGTGTCTTTTCTACTGACCCCGAGAGTTTCAATAGTAAAACTCAACTGTGGAGGCAATTCAGCGACAAGGCTGCTTTGGGAGCAAGATAACAAACTATTAGGCCATTGTTAAGTCAGGCCCACTCCCAAATGGCATTAATCTGAGAGAAAAGTCAACGAGAGAGCAGTGTGGGGGGGGGGGTGCCCCTTAAGCCCCTGTGATAAGCAGAGGCTGCACCACCAAGTGAAGAGATGGGGTTTCAGAACCGAGACCACTCGTCCTTCAGGCAGACAGAGCAGGGCTAAGGATTCCAGCTGGGGCTTCCCAACAACATGGTGACTGAGGAAAGGTCGCCGACTCGGGAGAGCAAGAATCCAGTCTTGGAAAGAGCCTGCAGACCACCCCAGAAGATCCTCAGTACTTACCTCCAGCTGGAGGAAGAGTTCTGAAAGAGATTAAAAAGTGCAATTAGAATCGCTAGGCAGTGGCGCCCTTCTAGACAGTGATGTTAGGATTCATTTAGAAGCAGTAATTGCTTTCTGAAAGCACGGTTACACAGAGCAAATGTTTTTCATCAGTAAAGTGTTGATATACATGAAGGGAAGGATGCAAGAAGCACTCGTGTCTTGTTAAAATCTGGCCCTCAACAGAATCAGCTCTGGCAGTTCTGCCCAAGGGCAAAACAAGCATCAGGAAGCAAACTACCCTGGCGAAATAAGTCATCCCTTCTTCCACTCAGCACACCTGCCAGCCCGTGTACCCCCAACACACAAACCTTCCAACATCCACCTAATGCTGTGTCGGGCGAGCAGCAACTGATTACCCACCACCAGATCATAATACACTAACCCAGAAAGTGGGAATAAAACAGATCCATGGCTTGGACTCTTTTTCTGGGCGACAGTGTGGTGCCGCAAATGTTCCACAAAATTCATTGGTGACCACCAACTCCAGGAGTGCTGCTCACATTTTATCAGTTTCCTTCGCATACCCCCTAAATCCTACAGATCCATGGCCCAAAAAGTACACGTGCACATTCACACACTTCCGGGGTTCTGAGTTCCAAGGACTCCACGTTAACAGCCCAGATGTCAACGAACAGTTACTGAATGAGGAAATGGCTGAGGAAAAAGACAAGCCAGTGCTTATTTCCTAAGCCCCCAGGATCCCTGATGCTTTGGCACTGCGACTCACTGGGCACAGGAGCCCAACACGATTGCTCCTATGTTCGTTTCAGACGTGAACCACACACACCCGGGCCAGGCAGCTGAGGTCTTGCGCCGTTTCGAGAACTCACACCTGCCCCAACAAGCCAAACTGACAATTAGCATCTATAGTTGATGGTGGCTGTAAAGCAGCCAGACACCAGACACAACTAAAGCAGGTGGATTATCTCTGCACGGAATGTGCTTTTGAAAGCTCTTCTGCATTTGAAGCTAGGGGAAGAAATATTCCTAAAAGAACACACGAGGACAATATTTTTCTTACTGAGAGCACGCAATACTCAGCCTGCAGTTTTCGTTTCAGAAAAACAGCTTACATCAATGTTCTTTCCTTAAACCAATAATTCCCTGAGCTATTCTCCTCCTCTGCAGATGGGGAAACTGAGGCTCCCAGAGAAAATCTGTTTACAGGCACAGACCTCTAAGCACGGATGGGAGAAGACCTCACCCTCCACAGAGCCGCCTGCTACAGGGGACCCAGGAGGAGGGCTTAGGATTTTCAAGAAGTCCCAAGGAGGATCCTCAGGAACTTGAAGTGGAGTAGGCAGGCCTGAGACGGGTGGGCAGGAGGCTAATAGCGACATCATCATTCTACTGGTACCCCATACCCTTCAGCTCCTTTTTGATCTATTGGGGTACACTGGACATCCATTCACTAGGGGAACCAAAAGAAGGGGTGCTAATTTTTGGCACAAAGGTGAAGTCACTGGACCAGAAGCTGAGAGGACAGCAGCCTGAGGAAAGGCCCCCAGGCCTCATTTTCACCCCCAACAGTACTTGGGCCACAGTTGGAACCAGCTCCACGCTGGCGTTCAAAATGCTGGCTGATGAGGACTTTTAAAATCAACACTTAGAGATCTGTCAGCACAGGCAGCTGGGTTTACACACTCTTAACCTGTCATCAACCCTTGGATGTTGTTTGTCAATAAACCAGCGAGTTTCCTAACATCAAGGCCAATGTGTCACAAGATTCTTTATTTCTCAGTGCTCAGATGGAGCAGATGCTCAATAAATGAATGCACTGACTGAGTAAAACACACCAAAGCACATTCTTCTTCTCTAAATGCTTACACTTCAATACCAGAGGGAAACAAACAAGGGGTTGCCCTTCCCTCCCAGAGCATAGAACAGAGATAGAAACAAACTTCAAACAGGAACTAAACAACCTCGCATCCTTTTCTCGAGTCAGCCCCTCTGACTGTCCATGAAGCCAGGCATGCAAGGTAAGAATGTGCAAGACAGTCCTTGGGCCGGGAACATCACCTGACCACCACGAGCCACCCTCCCAGCCTCAACTTCACGATCTCTTCAGCAATGGGGGCAAAGGTGAGCCACTGTACACAACAGTAGCTTGGGAGTCTTTTCTCCCCAAATCTCCTCTCACTGTGGGATGTCTGGGATACATTGTGGAAAAGTTCTTATGGCCAAACCAAAGAGGTGATGAGCAAAAGGAGGGAAATCAGAAGATGATTTATTTCCCAGCCTTACCTGCATTTCGTATCCTCTCTTTGTACTGCTGATCGAGCTTTTTCATCCTCTTCTGATACTCCTGTAATGTACCTGATTTTAAGCATTCACAAAACAAAAAGTTACTTCACAGATGAAATTGCTCCAAACTGTTGCCTGAAACTACTTTCTAGTAGCAAAAGTGATTATTTTAGTAATCTCAAGGTAAAACACAAACCAAGGAAAGCCACACCCAACAGAGCTAACTAGACTCCGGATCTCAAACAAGGCACACAGCAGAAACCACCTGCCCCAGTGGGTGAAGACCCTCTAGGGGTAGCAGAGAGCTGTGGCCAACCTAAGGTCACCCTGATTGCTTCCGGCTATGGGTTGAGGCAAAGGGTGACTTTTTTTCCGGAAAAAGTCATTTTCCTTTAGTAAAGTCTAGAGAGAACTTTCTGGTAGCAGCTAATCACACACAGCTTTTGGGCATTTGCACTGTGATGAGTGCAAATGAGAAACTGAAGTGTTGAACCATCAACTTTGCTTCATTAAAGGTAAACAGCCACATGTGGCTAGTGCCAGTACAGGACAGCTGGGGTAGCAACTCTTCCCAAATCTCTACTCATTTCTTTTTTTTTTTAAAGATTTATTTATTTATGCATACAAGAGCTGGGGCACAGGCCAGAGGTGCGGGAGGTTGAGAAGATTCACCAGAAATAGAGCAGGGAACAGAACAGGCAGATATACCGAAGTAAACTGCTGAGGGGAGCAGCAGGCGAGCCAGGAGAGGTCTGCTGCACCATGTGGGCTGCTCCCTGGCAGGCCAGGGATCAAACCCGCGCTGCAGAGGCCACGGACCACCCCACAGTGTGGTGCCCAACCCCTTGCGCCACCAGGGAGGCCCCACCAAATCTCTACTTATTTCATTGCTCTTTTCCAAAGCAGCAAATTATGAGGGCCCCAACTATTTTAGTAACCTCAGGAACTGTTTCCTGAACATAGGGCTTTAGCAGTAAATGCTAAGGGCATCTTTTTCAAAACATCCTACTCAACCACAGCAGTCAGGCTTACAGATCTGCCAGAGTGGCTTGTATTTCTTTCTCAATAGTTCCATTATCATGGAAAGAAAAAAAATAAAGATATGTGAGTGCAACTCAGGGGAACATTTTTTACTAGTAAGAAGTCAGCCTAAGACGTGCTGACTGGTCCCCGCATCAGAAGTAACCAGTGGAGAAGCAGTTTCCTGCCAAGGAACACCACAAAACGAAGCCCAAGAGTTACTTAGGAGCAGCAGCTGCCCATCACCAAGTGCACGTGAGCACCACGGTGCCAGTCACCCCTCATGGACCATGCAGCTCATCTACTTTAGCTCAAAGACTAAAGAACAAATTAAGCAAGACAAAGTAATGTGTTAAGAGTCAAGTTTCCAGAATGCAGAGAAGATGGGATTCCAACCTGTGACGGCACCCCAGAGCCTGCGCTCTTCACCCCATACAGAGCTGCCTTTGAGAGCAAACAGCGCAGGACCAGACACAATTCACATCTAATTCAGCAGGCCAAAAGACAGCGCTGAGGACGACTTATGGCTACTGAGCATTCAGTTTAGAAAGACAGCTCCCATTTTATTCCTCAGTAACAATCTCCTAAAAATGTCTAGCTTCAGCCACAGTGGTTTTCACAGCATGTTCACACAATGTTCTAAGTGAGATTTTGAAATAATAGTTCAAAAATCATCATTTTACTGACAGCAAAAGAGCAAAATGCATACTGCGTAGCCCAAATCAGCCAGATTGGATCTGGAGTCTCTCCAAAGAGCAGTGAAATAACAGATTTCAGATTTGAAAGGCCGGTAATATCAGGAACTATATTCAGAAGGGAAGGACTAAGTCACACACCAACCTTCCTGCAGCTGTTGCAACTGTCTCTTGAGAGAAGCCAGTTTGTCCTGATACATTCTGTTAAAAAAAAAAAAGAGAGAGAGAGCCACACTGAGAGACAAAAACATTCAATACTCAATTTCACAATAATCTATGAACAGAAATTACCTGGTCATTTTGGGAATGCCAGTAATGTTCTTTGAGGGAGAGAGAAAATTAGTCTGCCGACTGATTTTAAGTGCACCTGCAGTTACGGGAATCAGAAAGGGACAAGGATCCTATGTTCTTGCACCGAACCCCAAATCTGTTGATTCTCCAGTGTTATACCCCAACTTTAGAGAATCAGTCTGAAGTTTACAAATATGACCTGCAGATTTTAATGAGTGGCAATGATAAGCAGAGCTAGGCAAGCACAAAGAAAATCAGAAAATGTTGTGCTCTTCCCCTCTGAATCTCGAAGAAGTAACACACATGAAATTGTAGAAGTGGAATGAAAACACAGCTCTTCTACCGACCCTCCACAATTTGATTACATGTTCCAAAGCAGTAAGATTATGCCTTCAGCACCTTTCCCTACTTAGCACAGCTGTGTAAGCACAAAGTAAATAAACCTGCATGTCAATCTAAAAGCAGGCTCTTTTAGGATCAGAGAAAAAGGAGTAATTCAGTAACAAAAGTTGAAATGCAGGTCTTATTTGCAGCCCCAGCTAGGTAAGAACACGCAACACATGAAACAACAGAATCCAGCACATCACTTTCTTCCCTGACATCCCCTGGGTTAGCAGCTGGGAGACATGCCGGCCATTGTGTTTGAACAGAGATTCCACATGTAGATCACACTGCGGCCATATTTTTGCTGCTACCTGATAAACACCCCCAACTTCACAGTAACAAAAACATTTGCCATCTGAATGAAGAATACTGCCCGACAAACAGGCTTTTGATTGTTCAAGAGCTGCAAATACACCCAACTAGCCACAGGCAAAGGAAAGAATAAAGTGGAATCTGAGATTACACAGGAGGCCTGATGCTTCTGGGAGGATTCTGATGGACCCTTGAGTCACATGAGGCAGTTCATTTTAATCAAAACGATTTTCTCTATAAAACACTGAGGGTCATAGCCAATAAAAAGACCATCGCAAAAGAATGTTTAAACACATCAAGTACAGGGCCTCCCCTGGTGGCACAGGTGGTTGAGCGCCGCGCTGTGAAGCTGTCCGCAGACTCTGCAGCGCCAGTTCGACCCAAGACTCTGCAGCGCCAGTTCGACCCCGGCCAGCCGGCGAGGGTCCCACATGGCGAGTAGACCTCTCCTGTCTCGCCCGCTGTTCCCCTCAGCAGTGAATTTCATCAGTCTGCCTGTTCTGTTCCCCACTCTGTCTCTGGTGAATCCTCTTATCCTCCAGCACATCTGGCCTGTACCCTGGTTCTTGTATAAATAAATAAATAAATCTTTAAAAATAATAGACATATCAAGTACAAGAAGGGATGGATGTGTAAACTGCTTGCAAGAAGTCAATGTTTGGAACACAGTGTATTAAATTTTCTACCACCTAAATTTGCTAGACAATTTGCCTTTGACTTTTAAGTGTCTTTGCAAGGAAATAATAACAGAATGAAGAGGTAAACAGAATAAAAATCAGATTCACTGAGATTTGGGGGAAGAGCAGGTATGTGAAGTTGTATCTCGAATGGCCAAAGGTAAATCAGTAAAAAGCCTGAAGAGGGTAAAATTGAAACAAAAAGCAAGCAGTTTCAGGGATGAAGTGAGAAAAATCTTTTTTCCGCACTGATCAGAATTAGGTCACAATTTTCTGCACTTAGCTGAATTAACCCTTTGGGTACCAAAGCTTGAGAAGGATGACAGAACGCACAGGATGGTCACAAAACATTTGCAAACGGGATCTAGTAGGAAAGGAAGGTACACTGTCCAATTTAAAGATAAAGAAGTTTAAAAGTCAAATCAAGAACATCAAAACAGATGCAATAAATACTTTGTGGATATAGTCTATACTGCCTTGCATCTGTGTTAAAAGTAAGTTGTTTCTTCAGTTTCCCTGGATACATCTAGTGATGGCTCTGCCTGAAGACCAGGGAAGGCCAGGGCAGGAGTCAGGAGCCCTGTTCTCCTGCACCGCGTTCATTGCACTGCCAGCACCCTGTCCAGCTACAGGCAGTGCTGCCTGGGTCTCGCCATCCAAGAGACCAGCAGCCTCAAGCAACATTTATGCTCTCTGAGCAATGGTTTTCACATGTTTGGGGAAAAAAAAAATTAAGGGAGGCACAGTTCTCTCCTGTAATATGGTCTTATTCCCAGGGATCATTTCCCTCAAGGTTCTTTCACGTCTACCCACAAAAGACTCTTCTAACAGGAAGACTGATTAAATGTGGCCAATTTAAAGTGGGGAAATTGTGCACACACATATATGGTCTTTGGAAGCCTGGGGTCAAAACCACATACAAAAGGTCACTGTAAATATTTCTTTGCCAATTCTATATTCCAAAAAAGAAATAAAAATCCTACTCACTGTTCCTTCATTTCAACATAGTCTTCTTCATCATGCTTTGCCAGGTCAGTTTCACTAGCATCTTCTGTGTCTAAGTAAAATTGGGGAAGAAGGGTTTGTTAACATCATGATGCACAGAACTGGTATCACCTGACACAGTGACAATCAACTGTCTCTACTCATTGCAGGCCTACATGTAGTCATCAATGTAAAGTATTATAGTTAATCCAGAAAAGAAAATACCATTGCCAGCTCACACCATTTTTATTATGCAGAGAGCCTGCTTTATCTGACGTGCAGTCAGTGAAAGGGATGAGTCAGAAATAGGCACTCATGGTCAAGGCTGCTACTTCTGCAGAACCCGACAGTTTAGGAAAGGCAACGTGGGTGTGAGAGTGCGAAGCTCCAGGCAGCCAAGCCTTGATCACTATTTCAGACCAACCCAACATGTATATTCTCTTCTGGCATTTGCCTTTAATAGAGACCACTTGCGCTATTCAAAAGAGAACCAAAACAACCAGGTAAACTATTAACTGAAATATTTTCAAAGTTACAACTAAAGGGAGAGGGGAAAAAACACCAGATGCTCGAAGGGACACTTTTTCAGAACATTTTTAACACTGTTCTTAAAATAAGCAAATGGTGGCGAGTCTACAGAATTTCAACAGCCCTTACTTGAGGGGGATAAACCAAATTTAGCTTCACTGCTCCCCCTCGTGGCCACTCAAAGCAGTGCCAGCGAGTCACAGGAAAACACTATCTTAAGCCTGTCTTCAAATGTAGCTTAACCCAACCCACAGTTCTTGCAACTTGATGCTTGCAATTCTCTTTCTAAAGGCTGCTGCAGATCCCGTTCTCCACAAACCTTTCTCCCCTCCTTCAGGCAAGGAGATCCTGACAGATGCCAGCCACTGCACCTGGCACTCGGGGCACAGGGATGAATAATATACCTCATTGCAGGCAGCTGGTCTAGCCTTTGCTCCACAACTTTTCATGTATTGGGGTGTCTCTTCATCCCCTTTTTTTGGTGCCTTGTCCTTGGATGTTTCTTCACCTCTCTCCTCCTCCAGCCAGCTCCTTCCTCAATCCCTCAAAAAAAGCGTTCCTTGCCAAACTACAAAGCCCAGTGTGAAAAGCCAGGCTCCCAAAGGCAGTAACGACATGTAAAGCACATGGTACCTTCCACACAATACCTGGGCATCAGTCAACAAATTCCTCTCTCCCCCCAGGGGTGAAAACAGTAACTGAATATTCAGCAGATACCAGGCAGGCCAAGCACTTTACCCCTATGTCTCATTTACTCCTCACACCTACACAGGAAGCAGGGACTACTCACAGCCAGCTCACACTTGGGGGCACTGAGACGTAGAGGCTCAAGCAAGCTGACTAAGGCCGCAAGGCTGGGTTGAGTGAGCCAAATCCGATCCGCCTGATTCCAGGTCCCGCTCCCTTCCCCCACCCAATCATCCATCTCCCCCCTGCACTGCACTACCCAGAGGAGGGCTGCTTTAAGCATATCCCGGGGGTGCAGGGCAGCTTGGGGACCAGCAAGCCAAACCGGGTTTGCTCTGGTCCTCTCTGAATCTAAAAAGGAAGGGGTGCTCGTTGCACCCCAAGGATGGCACAGACGGTTGAGAAGCGGGGCAGAACCCTAAAGGGAACTCCAGCTCGCAACAGCTCCCAAGGGCCGGTCCCCATCTGGGGGGCACAAGGAGCCAGGGCCTCCCCCCGCTCAGCCGCGCGGAGGCAACTCCAGGGGACCCCCCCGCGGCCCCCAAACCCGGGAGGTGGCCCCGCCCCTCTCCCAGGCGGCCCCACCCCCTCCGGCAGCGGTGCCGCCCCCGCCCCGCGGCCCGGCGAGCGGCCGAGCGCACCTTCGTCGGACTCGCGGCCCCGGCAGCTGCGCTCGTCGTCCTCGGCGCTCTCCAGGTCGTCGTCGTCCTCGGGGTAGTACTCCACGGCCGGCTGCACCCCCGCCGGGGCCGGGGCCGGGGCCAGCAGCCCCGCGGCGCTCATGTCGCCTCTGCCCGCCGCCGCGCTCGCCGCCGGGGGACCAGGCCCGCCCGCCCTGCGGACGGCGCCTCCGCCTGGCAGCGCCCGGGGCGGCCGCGACCTCGAGCAGCGGGAGCCCGGGCAGCCCGGCCGACCCCTTCCCCGTCTCCGCAAGGCTCCGCCCCTCGCGCCCGCGCTCGGCAACGGGGGCCTCGCGCCGGCGGCGGCTTCCGGGTCGCGAGCTGCCCGAGGACCGCCTGACTGCGCCATCCTCGAGGGGGTGGCGCGGCCTCCCGGTGCCCCTCCGCGTTGACCCCGGCCCCTCCATCGCCGTTTTAAAATCCTCGGAGCGGGGGTGGGGGGGTGGGGTGGGGCGGAAACGGGATCTCTTGAGTCAGGCACGTGCTGGGGCAGGCCCGGCCGCGGTCAGGACCCCGCAGCGCAGAGGGGATTTCCGGAAATGACCGCCAGGCGGCGTCTGGAGCCGGAACTCCAGGGAGCTTCCTTGGCGACCCCGGGAGAGGCTTTTGAAGGGTTCTTGGCAGGTGCGGGGTGGGGGGGGGTCTTCTTAAAGGGAGGCGCAGGAGCCCCTCCCCTGCCCCCCTCAGCTTCCATAGCTGCGGTTTGCTTGATCATCCCGAAGAAAAGCAGCCTGGCTCTGACCCCAAAGAATGGATGTTTTATTAAGAAATAATAAAGATGCTGGTATATTCCGTCCTGGAGGTCAGCAAAATGGAATTTTCCCGGTCCGTGGGAGTCCTTTCTGCTTGATTTACTGAATTATGTGTCCTCCCTATTTTACAGCTGAGAATGGAGTGGTCACTTGCCTAAATAAATAAATAAATATGGAGCCTTGCCTTAAAAAAGTATTGAGACTTTCAGACCGAAATCCTCTAATAGGTAAGCTGCCCCATATTTCTTAGAAAGTTAATGTTTCACAACCCAAATGCCCAAAAATAAATGAATGGATCAAGGAGATGAGGTATATATACACAATGGAATATTAGTCAGCAATCAAAAAAGATAAACTTATGCCATTCGCAGCAACGTGGATGAAGCTAGAAGGAATTATGCTCAGTGAAACAAGCCAGAAGGAAAAAAGAAAAATATTGGATGGTCTCACTTATGGCAGGAATATAGGGGAACCAAATAAGACATCAGTGTAAAAAAATAGTAACAGTACAAAACACAACAAAGCAAAAACAATTATAAATCAGAGATATCCTGCAGGAAAGGAGGAGGGAGAGGGATCAGAGAGCAGAGGGGACTGAGGTGATGGTGCATGGGTGCCTTGGGGAAGGAAACTCTATGGGGACTACACTTGAGGGGGGGGGAGGGAAGCAAATATTGTTTAAAAATGAACAATGATGTAAAAAATTTCATTAAAAATTAAAAAAAAGAAAAATGTTTCAAAGGTAGTTTTGTCCAATCCAGTAACTTGATAATCAACTCTGAACTGAGCAAGGGGAGCATTTGCCTACAGGAAGTTAAATAGGCAAACATCAGGAAGGTTCTGTGTGGAAACTTAGAAAACAAGAAAGCTGAATATCTGCATGAATTAATTTATGGGATTCCCCCAGGTAGAAGTGCACAGTGTAAGAAGCTTTGTTTAATGAACAGTTTCAGACAGTCCCTTTTCTAGTTCTGTGTAGCGAGAAAAGGGATAATGCAAAGAACCCAGAGATGTTTAATGATTACTCCTGCAGTTGCATCCAAATCTCCATCTAAAAGGTAACTTACAAGTAGTTGCGTCCAACACATGTAAAAATCTTGAATGGGGCCTACTACACTTATTCTCAGATATTTTATGACCAAATTTATCTCCAAATGATAGCTATTTGAAAGTAAAAAAATCCCATTCTGTGTATTTTAACATTTCTTATTTTCTACTTTGTTTGAATTAAAATCTTTGCTGATTTTTTGAAGCTCCTTCTAAGCTCCTTCTTTGCTGTTTTTTGAAGCTCCTTTGAAGAGTCCTTCTCAGAACTCAGAGTAGGTTCACCATCTATATTTATACAAGGACTTCAGAACTATCTTGTCCAAAGGATGAAGTCATTTTCCTTTTTTATGCTGTTAGATCATGTCTAAATTATTTGCAATCAACTTGTGAATCAGGCAACTTGAGTTCCTGTCGGTAGCAATAATCATACAACAGAAAATTTGAAATGAGAACTCATTGATACAAATGAATTTAAATTTACTTTATTGCTAATTTGTTTTCTTTCAAGATGTTGGGATTTTTATCTTGCTAATGTTTTATTTCTCTCTTGATCACAATTAACATCTGTTATTTTATACATGAATATTTACAACTAAACACTTGGGTGGTGAAATTCCACCCATTTCTTCTATCCATATTGTTAATTCTAAAACTGGTAGGATAAGCTCTTAACTAATAACTACTCATTACAGGGAGACCTAGTCAAGAAAACAAAACAAACAAAAAAAAAAAAAACCACCCCTCTCCTGACAGTTGTTTGATACAATGGTTTTGGATAGTCTGTCCAGGTCTGTAAAAATCAAGTTCCCCAAAAGCCAAGTTCTCTGCATCTTTTTCCAAAATGATTCTCAGACACACTGCTCAGAAAAAATCTACTTCAGAACTCCTCTAAAACAATTCTCCTCTCACCACCTCCCTTTCTGGAGGTGCTCTCTGCATACCTTAACACTCAAACTTTAAAGGGGAGCATCAGAGCTGGAATGAGGTGGGATTTTTTTCAAGCCCAAGAGAAATCATGTTTAAACACACATTTTGTCAGCAGAGGGTTGAAAGTGTCGGAGGATTTACTGAGAACTCTTGTACACATCAGACAAGTTTTAGGATCCAAATGTGTCCCTGAATTTAAACAATTTCTACATAAAATGCAACATTGTGAAAGCCCATAAACTCTGCAGTTTAAGCTTGAGGGTGGCAGTTTTCAGTTTCCGGTATTGATTTGATCAACACACCCAGTTTCACGAAAATATAAGTGGCTCTGAGTAACAAGATGCACTTTCACCCTTGGCAGGCACTTTCAGGCCTGCTCGAGATAGGTCTCTGGTTATTACAGCTTGCATTTGCGTCAAAGTTCATTATACTTTATGGCTAGTTCAGAATCATTAAAACAGGTGGCCCTGAAAAATGTCGAGTGGGCTTATTTAAACTTTGTTAATGCTAACAAGGGTCCCCCTACTGTCATAATAATCAAAACACACACACTGAATACTTGCAAAGCTTTGTCTTCATACTTATAAAACATGTCCTCGTCGGTCGGTGTCCAACCCTTCTTTCTGCAGTTTCTTTATGCCTCTGGTGTTTAGATATTTTCTCCAATAGCATTAAACTGACATCTCTTAACTGCAACGCAAGGACAGGGAACAGGTAACTCCCCAGCTACAGATAGGAGTTTAAATCCAGGAAATACTTACAAGTCCCGCGTGCATAAACACTGTATTCATTATATTTACAAGTCCTGCGTGCATAAACACTGTATTCATTATATTTACAAGTCCTGCGTGCATAAATACTGTATTCATTATATTTACAAGTCCTGCGTGCATAAATACTGTATTCATTTATGGCACAATTATTTCGAAAGCTGTGCAAGGTCCAGAAGAGTGGGATCTCCTCCAAGGCCCTAACACGATGATCCCCGGCAGCCCCAGAGGGCTTTGGCCTCCAGAAGTCTACCTGGAAAAGTAAAAGCACAAGCAGGAAGACCATGAACTTTGACCCTTGCACCGCACAAACAACGCTGACCGCACCCCGGGCAGGCCCGGGGGCAACTGAAGTCGCAAAGTCTTCCGCAATGAGCAAACTCCGCCCCCTCCGTCCCGCCCACCGTCATCTCCGCCAATCCTCAGGCGCTATCGACCGCTCGGTTTCTCAGGCGCCTCCAATCAAGTACCTATATCCGGCCCCAGGCCGGGGACCCGCGATCAGGGAAGGTGAGTGGATGGCCTATCGGAGCCGGGCCGGGGGCGTGGTCCGGGCCAAGGGGCGGGCGGGCCGAGGCGGCGGGGCGGAGCGCGCTCGGCGCAGTCGGGTGCGATTGGCCACCCCTGGCAGCAGCCGCACCTCGGACAGCAGCAGCGGCGGCCGCGGGCGGGTCGGCGAGGCGCGCGGCGCGCGGGTCCTGCGTGACAGAGTGGGACGCGGCGGAGCCCGCGGGCGGCGGCGGCGCGCGGCCGGCCCCGGCACTCGGCGGCCCGCCCCGGGGACCCTCCGGGGACGGGGCAGGAGAGCGACCCGCGAGCAAGTGCGTGAGAGGAAGCGGCGCGCGCGGGCCCCGCGGCGTCCGCGGGTCCGAGGTGAGCGCCCCGGGGCGCGGGCCGGTGACAGCGGGCGCCCGGGCGGGGGGACCCCGGGCGGGGGGGGCGGGGGGCGCGCGAGTGAGGGGCGCCCCGGGAGCGAGTTTGACAGTCCGGCCCGCGGAGGGGAGCCCGGAGAGGAGCCGGCGCCGCGGGCTCGAGGGGACCCGGGAGGACTTGGCTCGTGAGGGGAGCCGGGACGGCGCGCCCGAGAGGGGGTCCCCGAAACGGACGGCGGCGGGACGTCTGCGGAGCGGGGACCTCGAGGGGCGCCGGGCGGCGGATCCCGAGGGGTCGGGGCGGCGAGTCCGAGGGGACCCCCGAGGGGTCGGGCCGGCGGGGCTGGGGCGAGAGCGCGGCCGGGACCGCGGGTCCGAGGCAGAGACCCCAAGAGGGGCCGGGCCCGCGGGTGCGGAGGGCGAGGTCCCCAGAGCGGCCGGGGCGCGGCGGACCCCGAGAGGCTGCGGGGCGAGCGGGGCCCGCGGGCGCGTCCGGGTCGGGGTCCGCGCTCGGGCGCGCGGGGCGGGGGCGGCCCCGGGCTGTGCCCCGCAGGTCGAGCTTCCTAAGGGTGGGGGGCACGCGGGGGACGCGGGGGACGGCGGGCCCCGCGACTCTGGGGGTGACTCCGGGACGAGGTTATGTAATGAAGCCGCTCCCGAGCAGAACGCGGGCTGGAGGGTCCGGCCCGAGCGGGACCGCGCGCGGAGAGGGGAGGCCCCCCGCGCGCCCCTCCG